CATTTAAAGGAAATAGCTATATGCCATAATTGCTTTGCTACTTGAGTGCTAACTTGGTCGTCATAAATGTGCATGAAAAGAGCCAAAAGAGCTGCTGGAGCTGGTTTGTGCTCCAGGGTCGTAAAACATAAAGCATTATAGAAACTTAAGCTATTAGTCTTCATTGGATTTCGATGTTGCATCCTTAACCTAATCAGATTTTTATGCCACGAACCACAATTATGTAAGTTAGCCTACAAACTGCACCAGAGTCAGATAAACAAGACGTACTCTCTGCCGGCCGGAGCTTACGGACCACACTCAGAAGGCTGGCTGCTGATTCAGCTAGTTTTAGGTTCGGCCACAGCAGAAGTCTGTTCATGATCTGGGGGAGACAGACTAACTGAGTATGTCTTAGGCTCCATTCCCCCCAAAACACATTGATGGGTAGCGGAAAACACGGCATCCTGTGTGGCAGAAATACAACCCGAGGAAGGGCTCCTTCTTCCTTTGACTCTAATCTGACTTACGACTTCTCAGAGCTAGAGGGTGGACTTCAGGGAAAAACTGTCAGCTTGTATCTAGGAAGACGAGGAAGCTATTCTTTTTAGTTTTCCCCATGGAACGGAAGCAACTCTGGAAACAAAACAAAGCAAAATGAAAGAACAGTGGATTTTGCACTAGAAGGTACAGCAGACAAGAAGAGTTCACTTATTGCCAACTGTCAACCCATGTGACCCCAGTGATAGGCACCAAAGGCAGTGGCAAGACCACGCAACGGCAAAGATCAGATCTGAACTAACAATGAAAATTTTGTTGGCAAAGGAAAGAAAGACCCAAGGAAACCCACTCCTGAATAAAGAAGAAAAGGAAATGTATTGTGCTTAGCACGTCAGGTGGAGGATTGAAAGTAATCCCTTGGAAGTTCTTATTTGAAGGTTCAATATTTTACAGTCACATCCCTAATCTACAGATCTATAGTTATTTACCGGTTTTTCTTGAAGTGAGAACAAAATAAAGGGTTCATTCCATCAACAAACAGTGGATGCTCATTATATTTTAGGCACTTTTTCAGAGATATAGACTCAAAGATTAATGAGAAATGGTCACAGGGTTTTGTACTTCTTCCCAGGTTTCTATCCAAATTTCAGCTCTCTGTAGGGACAACTGTGCGCTTTGTTTTCAGTTAACTTTATAAGTCTTCATTCAAGGTAATACAAACCTTTCATGATATATTTTTCATTGTTTTAAAAGAGTTTTATTGCAAAAGTGGCATATGCCTACTGTGATAAAAGCAATACAGAAGTTTTAAGAATAAAAAAATATATTTCCCTGTCCCATATCCCTAATCTTGAAGCAAACAGATAACTGGTTCATATAAATACATGAATAAAACTATTTTGAGGTTGTATACATCTCTCTCTCTCTCTCTCTCTCTCTATATATATATATATATATATATATACACATATGTGTGTGTGTGTATAGTGTGTGTATACATATATCGTGTGTGTGTCTATATATATGTATATATAGACACACATAAACACACTACACACTATATACACATATATACTACACAGGGTTGGGCAAAACTAGGTCTACAGTGTGAGTATGTGAAACCCAAAGTTTATTTTTCCATTATTATTAATTATTGTATTTTTTTCCATACGAACAACTCTAAACCTACTTTAACCCATCCTGTAAATATAGTGAGAAAGATGCCTGCTAAAGGATTAAATATACAGGGTGTCACAAAAAAATGCACCCACACTTTAATAGCTGATAGCTCAATTTTCAAAATGAAATATATTTTAATGAACACTACCTTTATAATTATTCAAAGTGTGTGTATACATTTGAGGGGGACACCCTATATATATATGAAATTTTAAAAACAGATGTAATCCTATATCCACCCTTTTACAACTTGCTCTATCTACTTCCAAATGGCTAGGAACAGACTATATCAGAATGGACAGGCAGTAAACTGGTAGCAAATAGCTGCCTGGTTGACTCTGAGGAATGGAAATAAATTATCAGGAAATAAGAGTGGGAGGAAGATTTTGCACTTTATTCTATTTTATACAATTAAAATTTTTTAAATAAGGAGAGAGAGAGAGAGAGAGAGAGAGGGAGGAAGTGTTGCCAAGTCTATCACGGGAGACAGTCATATAGGAAATAACAAGACAGGGAGATGTGAAAAATGCTGCCAAAGGATACATACACAGAGCTATAAGAGCACAGGATAAGTAGCAAAGAACTCTGCCCAGAGCATCAAGGAAGGCCTGGTGCAAGTGATGATGTCTAAGCATGCTCCTGAGGAGCAGGAAGGAAGAGATGGTGGGATGGAGGTAGACTAGAGGACAAGGTTAGACAGACAGACAGCACACACAAAGGCTCAGGAAGTGTGGGAAAGAACCAATGCCCTTTTCCAAACCAGGGAACCTTGATCCTGGACCCAGGGTTGGGGCCTGACACCGGGATGGGGTATTACTTAATGGCGAATACCAATTTATAGAGCTGGGCGGGGGGGGGGGGGGGGGGGGGCGGGGGGGGGAAGCAGGGGTGGTAAAAAAATGCAAGTAAGAAACAGAAAGCATAGTCAGGAAGACTAATTTGCTGATCCTAAGGATCCAAGAAAAGAGAAAAATCCTCTCAGAAATTAGGCAACTGAACAAACACCAGGAAAAGGAGAAAAAGAGAAAGTTCTAAGAGCAGGGTAAAAGAGGAGCCCAAGAAAATATTTCCAAATGAGACAGTAGTTATGGAGACTTTCGAGAGTGTATCTATGGACTTAGACTGGGCAGGGAGGGAAGCTCAGGCCTTAAGCCAGCGGTTCTCAACCTGTGGGTCGCGACCATTGGAAAACACATATAGCGTATCAGATATTTACATTACAATTCATAACAGTAGCAAAATTACAGTTATGAAGTAGCAACGAAAATAATTTTATGGTTGGGGGTCACCACAACATGAGGAACTGTATTAAAGGGTCGCGGCATTAGGAAGGCTGACTGTCTGGAAGCAAGTTGAAGTGATAGCAAGTAGCCTTATATGGTCAGAGTAGAGGATGCTTGGGGTACAGAGTGGTTAGTGAATCAGCAGTAAGAGGATAGGGTGTGGTAGACTGAATAATGATTAGGACCAGAGATGCCCAGGTCCTAACTTTCGGAACCCGTGAATGGCAAAAGTGATTTTGTAGATATGCTTAAATTAAGACTCTTGAGATGGAGAAATTATCCTGGAGTATCTGGGTGGGCCCAATATAATCAAAGGGGCCCTTATAAGAGGTGTCAGAAGGCGTCAGAGAGAAGGGCATGTGACTTATAGATTGGAGTGATGTGCTTTGAAGATGGTGGAAGGGGCCACAAGCCAAGGAATACGGGTGGCCTCTAGCAGCTGGCAAGGACAAGGACATCTTGCCACTCTGGAGTCTGCAAAAGGAACCTGTCATACTGATTAATACCTTGAGTTTAACCCACTAAAACTGATTTTGGACCTCTGGCCAGAACAGTCAGAAAGTGAATTATGTTGTTTTACGATCAATAACAAGCAAGGGGGTGTATACATCAGAGCTACAGTAAACAGATGGACTGTGACAGAGCTGGCTCCAAAGTGGCAAAATGGGTTGAGATCAAAAGTAGAGCACAGTGCTAATGCCACAGACAAATTTCCCTCCTGGGCTCAGTGTTCAACCTTTAGGACACTGTCATACTGGGGATGGATGCAAGGGGAGAACCCAGAGTTCGGGGAGGGTCAGACTCATCCCCAGCAGTCCAGCGGCTGGCAACCCTTGAACTATTGGCAAAGAGAAACAGAGGAGGGTTTAGCCTTTTGGTTTATCACTAGGCTGTGGCATGGAAACTTAGGAAGCTTTGCTAGCTGGTCTCATCTATATTTTCTTTCGTTACACTCCTTTATTGGCAAATTGGAATCAGAACAATTTTAAGATGCTGAAGTTTGAACCCTGTGGTTGTGTCTTTGAGTTTAGAGAAATCAGGGCTTGGGATGGGGTGAGGCCATGGGGAATGCCTGTAGCAACTGAAGTCCAGACCAGACACAAGCCTTTTACTTCTTCTGGAAGGAAGTAGCAAGAGACACTCTCAGGCCTCTGCTACTTTTTAAGCAAGACAAAACTGGACTTCGTGTGGCGATCAGAGGACCAAGAGCATCCCAGCCATGGGGGACCATTTTCCCTCCTGCAGCCTACCTGTCCCTAGTCCCTTGATCATTAAATGTCTATTGTGCTGATTTCATTAGTAGCCTTTAGCAGCTCACATATCCACAGCTTGGCCTCCTCAGAATGCCATGAGGGTGAGCTCAGGAGAAGACATTCATGAACGGCGATTCTTAACCAGTCCTGGTTGACCAGAACCCACATTAACTAGGCAGCACTCCTCTACCAGAAAGCAAATTCAGAAAGTTTGAAAAGCACCAGTCTTACACTTACTTGGACTGAATAGTAATTTGCCATCAAACAGCAGACAAGGAATTATTTGTGAGGCTGGTATCTGGAGCTACATAAGCCGTATAGCTCACATCAGTAGGAAAACTGGGTGTAAACATAGGGCGGGAGGGCAAGAGAAGGGGTTATTGTGTAGCTGCTGGAAGGAGTTGCCAGTCAGTGAAGGCTGGGACTGTGGGGTACAGGAAGTGGTGGGGAGACTGCAGTAACCACGTCCTTCTCCTCTACTTCATAAAAACAGCTGTTGTTATGATAGCAGAAGCATGGCGAGTGGCTGGTAAACCTTTCAAGGATTCTCCCTACAATAACTAACAGAGTGAGCGTACAGTTTGGGCACCATGCTGAATAAAAGTTTCCCCTGAATACCCGCATGCTGAGACTGAGTTTTAGCAACCAAACCTTGGCATTTTAAGGATGTGGGGCATCAAGGCAATACCCACATTGGTCATTCACCTACATACTCCTTAAGTCTGGTCCTATTGCACCTAGACAGCCAGGAATTGCTGTAAAATTTGGGGTGTAAAATTTGTGGATGCTCATGTCTGTCACTCACCTTTGCTAATGTCTTCATATTCCAGCCAGAGTCGCCGCTGGACTTGCTTGTTTGGGTACCAGATAGAGCAGGACTCCTCAAAGCCATAGATAGCTTCCTGGATGTAGTGGTTACCAAACTGGTCCAACAAGGCCACAAAATCCCCACGGGATGTCGCCCCATCGAGGGAGTGGAGAGCATTGCTGAGGGCTGTGGAGAAACATCACCCAAGAGTAAGAGTGAGAACTCACAATAGGGGCATCTGGGTTCCCAGGTCATTCAGTCCCAATTGTGGATGCCCTGTGTAGCCCAGAGTGAGTTGCAGAGCTGGCTGGGATTACAAGTGAATTTCCATTCAACTAAACCAGATCTTTTGGTTCCTAAACAAATTATCTATCTCTTTAAGCCAGTTGGCCATGTTGTTAATTGTACAAATTAAGCAGAACATTGCCAAATCTACTCCCCTGCTTAAGTTAATGGTTTTTTGTTTGTTTTTTCTCTCAAATTGTAAGTCGTGACATTAAATCATTTTATCAAGCTCAAATAATAGCATTTGGGGGGGGGGGAAGAGAAAAAAAATAGCATAGTCTAAAATAGACACACAAATACCAGCAGAGAACATTTCTCATCGTAAGATGAAGTATCACTCATGGAACTTCTGTTGTGTGTATGTGGGAGTGTGCCTACCCCAGACTTGTTCTCCCTGTTTAAGAGAATTATGTTTGTCTGAAAAATAACCTGCAACAAATTTTCTGAATCTAATGCCTGCTGACCCTGGCCAGCTCTCCACAGCCCTTCTTTCATATAGCCTTGCACACCTGTGTCCTATTAGTAAAAAGCAGAACCTGGCCCAGGCATGAGACCTCAAGTCCAGAGGCCATTCTGAAGGCATATGGCAATGGAGGTATCTAACTGTTAACCCCTGATATGCAGTCCCTGTGTTGGGTAGGGCCTATACAGCTGGAGTTTCCTAGAATGAAGAGGGGCTTAGTTTTTTCTTGGTGTTTTCTGCACCAGCAGAGTTGACTTCAGTAAGATCCCCATCCCAATCCCTTCTTGCCAAGAACTTTTCATAATAAGAAATAAAAAGTTCAGAGTCCTTCCTGTCCTCTGCAGATGTTCTCTACCCTTAATGCATTTCTTTCTATGTGCACAGAGCCTTATCTTTTGTGAGCCTTATCTATCTGCTCTTCAAAACTGCATCCAGCCTCTACCCTTTCTCTCTCTCCTGCTGGCCTTAAGCTCTGCCTACCCATGGCTGGCCCAAAGACAATACTCCCTTGTCTTGTCAGCCGGTGCCAATAATACCATCTGAATCTAGTCAGCCTTCCACCTAACACAGAGAAGCCAAATTTTGTAGCATAAACGTCCGGTCTGGTACATTCCTTAGGTGCCCTCAGAGGACGGAGTTGAGTAATGTCCTAGTCCATGGGTGAAGCAGAATAGTAGAGACACAGACCTATATTAAGGCCATATTTACAGAAATTTTCTCTTTTGCAAATTGTACATTAGAACTGCTAAAATGCTAGGAAAACTTGATTCAAGGCATTTACCACTAAGATTTGAAGAATACTTGTACAAGGCACCTCACTGTTTTGTTTTAGAATAATTTGTCCTAAGTTTCAAATTCACTATTCCTTAACTTAATAAATCTAGCTGTCTCTCTATCATCTGTTTTGCTTGCATGCTGTTTAGGAATTGTAAGCTATTTTCTATTTTTCCTTCCCCCACCCCTCTTTCTTGCTTCTTTCCCCTATTTCCTTCATTGTATGAAACCTCTAAGTTTTGCTCCTTGCAATTGGAACAAAGTGATAAAGTAGGTGTTTATCTTCAGTGGTCCCTGCCTTGCCCTTTCCATCTCTTCTATGACCCAAGATAAAATCTGCAATTTAATCCATCCTTAGAAAAGGGTCTGCTTCCAGCCATTTGCCCTGAAAGGTGAGTACAAATGAACTGATTATCTATCTCACTTAGAATGCACCTTCGACAGTGGGCTAAAACACTGTGCCCTGGGGAAGGAACTCCTGCCCCAGAGCAGGTGGGAGTGACAGCATGCTGCTGTGCTCACCCTGAGAGATGGTCGCTTGGTTGAGTTTGATGTGGTACATCACAGACCGGACCTTCCAGTGCTGCAGCACGGGGTAGCCAGACACCTCGCTGAAGTTCACCATCCCTAGGGGCAGAGGAGAACACGGGCTCAGCATGTGCGATGGATTCCCAAGTCCCAAACCTATTGGGTTGGCCTGGGGGTCAGTGTGGGGGGCAGTAAGTGTGAGAAAATTTGATGGAGAGAATTTCTGGAACCATAGTCACAACAGATATTATTCACTGAACCCTGATTCTGTGCCCAGCATTTTGCTAAACCCTCTGAACCTATAAAGTCATTTGATTCTTGTGCAATAGGTATTATTATTTGCATTTTATAAATGGGGAGACTAAGGCTCAGAGAAGGTGTTTGCATAAGGGCCCTAGGCCAACAGGTGTGTCTGAGACAGGGCTGGGGTTCTTAACCATTCTGGTATAATATTCCCTTAATAAATGTATATAAAACGCTAGGCTTACTGTAACACACCAGATTTTTACTGCCTTTAATAGTTGCAGTAATTGACTTAGCTTACATACCTGATAACATTGATTTTTCCGTCCCATTTAACTGATCCGTCTTCAGTATTTAAGTTTTAATTACTCTGAAGTTGATCATGCTTATTTCTTCTTTACCAGGAGGAACAGTGTCAGCGCAACTAAGTTAAGGGGCAGGAATGGCCCTCTATTGGGTGACACTGATGTGCCAGACACGGTGATAGACACTTTATTGCACTCCTCCTTTTATTGGTGGGACACCTGAGGCTCCAAGAAGGCAAATTACTCATCTAAGGTCACTCTCAAGAAACACATCCTTGTAGCCTCTTAGTGATGTTATAATGGGCTGTTCCTTTGTGGGCACCTTGGAACGGCACCCTATTTGAATTCTGGCCATTAATATAAAATGCTACAGAAACAAAATAATTAGGCCATAGGTCAGTGGTTCTCAACCTTCCTAATGCCGCGACCCTTTAATACAATTCCTCATGTTGTGGTGACCCCCAACCACAAAATTATTTTCATTTCTACTTCATAACTGTAATTTTGCTACTGTTACGAATCGTAATGTAAATATCTGATATGCAGGATGTATTTAGGCGACCCCTGTGAAAGGGTCGTTTGACCGTCAAAGGGGTCGCGACCCACAGCTGGAGAACCGCTACCATAGGTAGTAAAAACAAAAATTCACCTTGCTAAGTTTAGAAAACCAATTTTAGCTTAATTTCTATGCCTGTTTGCTATGTATATATTATAGGAATAAGTATATAGAGAGATATATGCATATTTGTATATATACAAATATAATGGCCATATATAAAATAAATTTAGAAGACAGGAGATAGTGACTGTGTGTATAAATATAATGGAAATAATACATATATAGTGAATTATCCTGCCATTTTAACCCATGCTTCCTTCAGGCATAATCAACTAATTTAATACCTAAACTAGATGAAGAGTGGGTGGGATTAATTAGCTGCTTGTCAATGCTGATCAAATTAGGTGTGCAATTACCAAACTTCCATTTCTGTGTGAATCATATGGGAATAATTATTGGTAAGATAAAAAGAAAAAAGGTCAGAAGAGGTACTTAGTGAATCAATTGCTTAAATCTAATTGTAGGCCATCAATGATTAACACTCAAAGAAGGTTTTAGCACTTTTTCTTTCAAATGTTCTTCTTTTAGGGCATAAAGTTTTATGACAACAGTCATTCTCCTACCTACTCTGGCTTTTAACCTTTATGCTAATTTTCAAATCATATAAATGAAATTATGCTTTTACAAGTTTAAGACCCAGTCACATACCCCAAAGGCACGTTTTATTGGAACATAAGAGGCACACTGTGGAGGACTGTTCTAGATAACGTGTACCCTATAGTTAAGTCAGTTCATCAGCTTGCTGTGTTTTTGAAAAGTTTAATAACAAAAAAATAGCAAGCCCACTAAATAAAGATTTTTCAATATACAGTATTATAAAATGTTCCCTTTAATTGAATTGTTTCCTAGTGGGACAAGAGAGGAGCGGGAAATCAGGAGACGGGTGTTCTAAAACTGGCTATGGGGGAGAGGGGTTTTGACTGCAAGTCTGGAGCCTGAGCTTCCTCTCTCTGGCCACCTGGCTAGAGGATCTGAGTTCCCAGTTGTTTTGTCTATAAAGCTAGAGGCTCAGCTGAAATGACCTAGTCCTTCCTTCTCAATTCTGTGATTCCAATCAGGCTTTGTGACTTTGGACTAGGCAACTCGTGTTTTACAATTTTCCTATCTGGAAAGTGGGATTGCGATTCATCTTACCTACTTGGTAGGTAGGCTGTCAGAACAAAATTATGTTTCGGGTATAAAAGTATGTTGAGAAAAGATAAACCACTACATGGAACATGGCTTCCACCATGTTGTCACTTCTACCTCACCTCACTCATCACCCCTAATTATGTGAACCTGACACTTCTTAATTGATGCTTTTGTTATAAATATCTAGAACAACAGAGGAACTAAAAAATGCAGGAAGTACGAATGCAGAAGAGTAGAGAGGGATGAGTGTCCCACATTCACCCAGGGTGAGCCAGACAACCGAACTGCTCTGTTACTTAACTACCATTCTACTTAATGCGTTTATGCCAGAGCACAGCTAAGGAAACGGTTACATAACTGTGCTGCTCGGCAGATGTTGTTCTGTGCCCACTTACAGATAATATTTCCATTATTTAAAAAGAAAGGGATATTTTAAAGTAGATATACTTTTCAGCTGAGTCATAGAATTATTTCTCAGTGTGCCCTTGGCATTGCAGTAGGCTCGAGTTAATTTATTGTTATTTGGAATACATTTATGAATGACTCTTTTTTTCAAACAAAGTATCTCCAACTAATGTTTTCTCCAGAATAAACATTAATTTTTTCCTTAACTATGCCTGAAGAAAAAGTGACTGAATAGATTTATGTGAGAGAAAGAAAGGAAGAAAGGGAGGGTGAGAAGGAGGGAAGGCGGGAGGAAGTAAAGAAGAAAGGAAGGAAGCTTTTTTCTATTATTTATTTGAAATGTCAGGGGATATATTATCACCAAAGTTCTAAAGTCTGTTTCCTTTGGTTGACCTTGAAGGAGTTCCTAAGAGCACAGAACTCTACATCTTCATATTGCTTTAGCGACTGTGATGCCCAGTAGACCCATGAGTGGGGTCAGCAGTCTCTTCTACCTCCTTGGTCTGCCCCTGCACTCTCTTCTTTTCCTTAATTAAGAGACTGAAAATACAAATAGATGATGGCCAGATCACATGTAAAAATAGAACTCTGACCCAGAATCTGCAGCAATCAGCCCAGAAAACCAACCTATCCAAAGTAATCAGCCCAAGAAGGGAGTCTACTATCCTACATCAGATCTGTAGGAAGTCAGAGCACTATCTCGAGCAACCAGTCCAGGATGCCAAACAGTAACACCTGTAAAAGTTGGCCCACCATGCCCAGGACTTGATTAATAACTGACAGATTCCCAATTTTTGTTCTTGCTTCCAACTTAGGTCCAACCAGAGAATGCCAAATATGTCCCCCTAAACACTCACAGAGAATGCCATACTCCTGGGTAGTTGGCCCTCTATTGCCAACAACTCCCCCAGGGCTCATCTGGCCTCTCTTCTTCCCCTCTAAATTCTCCTCCCCTCCGCCTGCCCATCTGTCTCTTCCAAGAAGAAGTGAAGGCAACCGACTCCCATACTACAGACTCTATAGAATAGAGAAAGCTATGAATAAACAGCTTTCATCTGATTAGTCTACATTTATTTTCACACAACTTATTATATGAAAAAGGCTGGTAAAGCTCAGCCTTAACTGTTATTTTGATAAAGGGGGAAGCAATCAGCAAGATAAAACACACAAGTCAATATTTTCTAGTATGTCTTCAAACCAGAAATTCTGAAAGATGAAAATAGCTGTTATGTGTAAGAGAATTCTCTAGGGACGTAAGTTTAGGAACTGCTGGTTTAAATGAAGTCAACCGATTTCTTTATCTCGGGGTTTCTGGAACCTGTTGTATGCTAAGATGTTGCAAAGAGTTGAAGACAGAACTTATTTAAAAGTGGAGCACTGGCCCATTCCTAGTCAGGGCACATGCCGTAGTTGCAGGCTCCATGCCCAGTGTGGCATGTAGGAGGCAGCCAATCAATGATTCTCTCTCATCATTGATGTTTCTCTCTCTCTCTCCCTCCCTCCCTCCCTCTCTGAAATCAATAAAAATATATATTTTTTAAAAAGAGTGGAGCACTGTTTTTTCATGCTTAGAAATGCTGATATAGAAGATTCCCTCTAAAATCCAAGCTTGTAGGTTTATGGGGATTACGACCTATACTAGCACAATAGTGTGACAAGATATGAAATTATCTGTGTGACTCTCAGGAAAGATACAAGTAAGTGTTGCCCGACTAGAAAGTTAATATGGAAGAAATCTGGTCAACCATCTCTTTAATTGACTCTTCTAGTTATTCTGGGCTTTATATAAAGAAGATGGATTCCTTTATATATCAAAGAAGAGTTCTTGGTCTAAATGGCACCACTTTTTAATCAAAATAGGTTAAAAACAAAGGCAGGCTACAAAAGTAGCAGGTCAAGAAGGGTTCCCTCTACACTTCGGAACATAGACTTCACTCTCTCAAGGCCATGAAAACGAAAGTGATCCATGTGGATACCCTGTACTCTTTGCCTCCAACATGCCACATCAGGCAAGGTCCGAGGGCTCGGGAAGAAAGAATGTTCTGTTGTGGCTGATGACCGAATTCATATCTTTTCCCTATTTCCAAAGATATTCTGGTGTTTCTCAGATTTATCCACCCACTCCTCCCCAGAAAGCTTCAGGTAGCATCCAGGACTACTCTCTGTCCTCCAGGCCTGGCGACCCAAATACAGTCTCACCTGCACAGTAAGTTTAACGTGTGAGGTTGTGGTGGGTCTTTAAATGGAAACCAGGTGGCTTTTTACTGGTGTGGACCCTGTCCTATTTGTGCATCTCACCCCTCCTTTACCAGGTAATTTAGACGCCCGGCAAATGTTTCTCAGCAAATGAAGTGGAAGCAAGACATCAAGATTCCCCAGCACCAGAGATGTAGGCTTTAGAGACATGCCCAGAGGCTGCGCTGTACTTTCTTCATTTTAAGGTCTGTGTGTGTGGGGGTGTGTGTGTGTGTGGGTGTGTGTCTGTGTTTGTAGTTGTTTTTTAGTGGGGAACTGATTTCAATGAGATTTATTTCTGGTCCAGGTATATCTAATTGTTTTCTTTCTTGCTCCCTCTCCTCCCCCCATAGATAAAACACTAAGGTTTATTTATTTATTTAACAAACATATCTCACTGTGTATCAGCAACTGTTCTATAAACTTTACAACCGTATAAGGAAGATAATATTCATTTTTACAGGTAACAAAAACTGAGGGACAGAGGTCAGTAACTTGTCCAAGATTACACAGTCAGTGTAGAGTTGAGCCCAGCTGTCAGGTTCCAGAGCCTTCGCTATTAATCACTATGTACACTACCCCAGACAGACCTATTTCTAATTCTACCCAGGTCTAAACTACAATGTTAACATAACTCAATATTTGGAAGAGGCTTGACCCCAGCACAATCCATTACCGAGAAAAGGAGGGAAAAGGGGGGAAAGGGTAAAAAATAAGCGTCATAGAATGAGGAAGGAAGAGAAGTAATGGAGAAATGAACAAAGCCAGTAAAGAAATTGTGCTTACATCCAGCCTTCCAGCACATGACGCTGGGTTCCTGGTTAGTTGCCCTTTATGGATGGGTCCATGGAACCCTTTGAAATGTCTTCTTTAGTCCAGGAGATGCTAACTGGGGGTCTTCACAGACACAGAAAGGAGAAGCTTCCCCTGAGGTTCTTGCCTCTTCCCATCAACCCTTCCCTTAGTTCCATATGAGCCAGGGGAAGATGCCACTGGGCTCAGAACAGCATTGTGGCAGGTGTCGCTCCATCTTATGATAAGGCATGACCCGAGAAGCTGCAGTGTCTGAAGTCACACAGCTAGAAAGTAGCAGAGCCGGGATTCAGACCCTGGGTCGTTGGACCACCCTCACACTGCCCCACAGTACTTGGCAATGACAGACATTCAGGCCACAGTAACCTGCACCTTCTCTCTGCCTCTGCTATGATCTGGTTATACCCTTTAATCCACTGAGAACTCTGAACTCTCATCTACTACCCCATCTGATTCAAAGCATCCCAGTGAGTCTAGCGAGAAAGGTATTATTATGAGTATTTTACAGATGATTATATAATAATATTGGCAATTTTACTGACAATCCCACCAGTGTTCAGTTTTAGGACTGAGCTTTTATTGTATATTAAGGAAATCACTGGCTTTGAAACCAAGTAAGTGAGGTCAAGAGTCTTCATTTTATGAGACCCTGGGGAGCCACCTGGCATTTGCAGGGTAAGTGAGGGCAGGAGGCATACTTACCAGTCAGAAAGTCTGGGTCAGGGGTGGGCTCTGAGATTTCCTCCAGGCACTGGTTCTCCAGGGGGACAGTGGCCACCACAAGACCATCTGGCAGCTGCTGGTCTAAACCTCGAGCAAAGTTGTTTTGCCTGGAAACAGATGCAGACATTTATTTCTGAGTGTGCAGGTGAATCCCACTCCTTAGTGTGAAATCCATATCTCAACCCACAATGAAAAAATTCTTTCTGGGCCAAAAACTCCCCTCATTCGGAACCCCACTCAGTGTACATGTCTGGAGTAGGACGTGGGTGTGAGAGGTAGGGTGAGGGCTGGGGGAGATTAGAAATAAACCAGATAAAAAGGTTTGCTCGGAAGATAGAGACATTCTTTCTTCCCATCCCTGTCCCTATTTCTCAGTGCCCTCTGCATAAGATCTGCGTGTTTGTGGTCTCATTTCTAGATTACAGAGAAGACCCAGCCATCACAAGAATGGGCATGACACCTCACTGCTTGCTGTTGGCAAGGTCCCAGGCAAAAGGGGAAATACAGTAAAGTCTACTGTCTAAAAGTGACTCCAGGAACTGGCTTGGAAATTCATGTGAGTCTAGGGCCTCGGTTTGTTCATGAGACTCTAGGCTCAGGTTGCTATGAACTGCTCGTCCATATCACAATGGTTTCATCATACTTATCACCTCCCAAAGCATGAGTTCTGAGGAAGGTGTATTCAAGTAGCCTAAGACCGAACAGAAACAGGGGTCAAATGCAGAATCTCCTAGAAATAGTCTAAACCGATGGTTTGAAACATTTTGCTCTAGGATCCCTTTACACTCTTAAAAATAACTGAAGGCCCCAAGTTACTCCTGTTTATGTGGATTACCTCTATCAACATTTACCCTATTGGAAATAGAAGAATTTTAAAAATATTAATTTACTGGAAAATATCAATCATAAAGCCATTAAATATTAACATCCTATATAATTTAGGGTTAATATGCAAATTGACCGTCACACCCTCACACAAGATGGCCACCCCCATGTGGTCACAAGATGGTCACCACAAGATGGCCGGCAGGGGAGGGCAGTTGGGGCGACCAGGCTGGCAGGGGAGAGTAGTTGGGGGGAAAGAGGCTGGCAGGGGAGGGCAGTTAGGGGCGACCAGGCCTGCAGGGGAGGGCAGTTGGGGGCAATCGGGCTGGCATGGGAGTGGTTAGGGGGTGACCAGGCTGGCAGTCAGAAGTGGTTAGAGGCAATCAGGCAGGCAGGCAGACAAGCGGTTGGGAGCCAGCAGTCCCGGATTGTGAGAGGGATGTCCGACTGCTGAGGGGTCCCAGATTGGAGAGGGTGCAGGCTGGGCTGAGGGACACCCTCCCTGCCCAGTGTATGAATTTTGTGCACTGGACCTCTACTATGCTATAAAACATAATGAGCGGAGTAGCATTATTTTATATTTTTTGCAAAGTTTTACAATATCTGACTTACAAGACAGCTGAATTCTCACTTCTGCATTCAACTTACTGAAACATATTGTTTGGGTTGAAGTATACAAAGGAAACCCAGCCTCTCTTTATTTGGAAAAGGCAGGACTCTATCTCTTGGAAGGACCTCAGTGTTGCTCAGGGATTCTTGGACCATACTTGAGGACTGCTACTCTAGACTGACTCACACACTGATTCTTCTACTCAGAAGGAAAATAGAACCTGAGCATTTTGTGGAGGGTTCCACAGAAAATCTTCCAGTTCCTGCTGGGCAAGATAAGAATTTATTTCATACTTCACTGTTCACCCAGAGGAAGCATGGTTCTAGAACTCTGGAAGGAGGAGTGCAGACTTGGAAAAGACCATGGGAGAGAACATAACCTGTCCTTTTAGGATCACATTTATCTCGCTCTAAGATGTAACATGTGATGCTGGCTAAAGCTCTGAGGGGGAAGATCTAGCAGCCCCGAATAATCAATTCTATGGACTTGAGGTTCACCTGAATGTTCCTTTCAGCACTTGTCCAGAAGCCACTTCCTTGGAATGGTTGTTGTAACCAAAGAACATCTCCCCAAAGAGTGTCTGGTTCATGGGAAGCTCCCTGCTTTCCCCACAGTCGCCTCCCTCTGGGCAGGTCTCCGAGACAAGTTGGCAAGAGCGTCCATCCACACCCAGTTTGTAATCCTCAATGCACCTGACACAGTGGAAAACTCGAGATGTTAGTCCATCAACGAGCTATGCAGTCAACTCAACCCAATTGGTTGGGAGGAAATGCCTTTGGGAGTGTGTTGAGTAGCTGAAGATGGTGAATATCCCAATGTGATTTTTGTCACAACTCAATTTCTTAAGCCTGTAAACCAAGTCTCCTTCCACGATGTGATCACAATGAACCTCTCACCTTACCTTTGCAGATAAATGCTTTCAGAGCTTTGGAGGACTGTCCTGTACTCCTTTAAGTATCTGATTTCCCAAATAGCTCAAGAGATAAGCTTGTAAATGAGTTAACTCATTTAAAATCCAAGATATTTTGGAGCCTTTCTCCGGAACCATCTATATGGCCAGATTCTGCCTTTGTTTAGAGGGTAAGTAGGCAGAGAAAAAAAAAATGACACTGTACTTAAGAAATTAATGACCTTCTAAATCTGGTCCTGTGACAAGTCACTAAGAAATTAGGAAGATTGATCATCTTCCGGCTGTGTTCTGTTAGAATGTATCCAAACACAAGGTCTACCCATATTAACTCCCCCTCCAATTAAACTAAATAGCAGCTAGGTCATGGAGTGCGGCACCTCCTCGACACCCTCCCCATTAAGCGTGTCCAGTTACTCTAATGGAAGGGCAACACTGATGCTGCCAAATATGGGTCAATGACCCAAAAGTCATTAACTGGACCGTATTTGTAGTTATATTGAGAAGACTATAATTTGTTAGTCAAGTAAGAATTCTTTTGATAAAGCTGCCATTTAAAAAGCATATTGATTTAATATGAAGTACACAAGATTTTGAATTTGTGGGTGTTCATGGCATTAAAACACATCTTTTATTACTACCTACAGTAACTGTTGTAATAAGATAAAGACTCTGTTCTATGTAGAGGAACAAATAATCATAGTTTTAAGTGGTTAGAAGCAATATTGTAATGGCAATGACACTACCCTTTACAGGTGACCTTGAGCCAGTTTATTAAACCCTCTGAGCTTCAGTTTTCATATCTGCAAAAGGAGGGGAAGCAGCAGCTGCTTCTCTGGGTTGTTGAGAAGACAGACAATGAAACTCAAGAACTTCTGTTGTGTTAGCATATAGCAGGTCCTCGTCAAATGTTTCCATCATTATTATTAGCAGAGGCACAAATGTGACTCATGTGAATGCCCTTGAACTAGTTCTCCCGATTTACCATTTATATATTTGTGTGAACAAGTGTGACCAGAGCTCAGACTTGGTCGTTAGATAAGAATCTCAAACCAAGGACTTGTCAGGCTATAGTAGCTTGGAGAGTGCTGCATACACACGTGTACTGAATTCTGATTGCAACAGGGAAGGAGTCCAGTTAGGGAGCTATTGCATTAGTCCAGGTAACAGATGTAATTCCAGACCCACAAAGGACTCTATGGTACCAATCTAGGTCTGGGACAAGATAGTGAGGTGACTCCATCCTTGAGCTGTATCATAGTATTTCTATAAAGAATATTGAAGCTGGCCAGTTCCCTCAGACCACTGTGAGCATCTGGCCAATTCCCCTCCTTAGGACCCCGTATCCCCTATTCTCCGTGCTCATCACCGTGTGTCCCACTGGGAACGCCTTTGAGGGCAGAGATCAGGTTTCATAGCCTGCGATCTCCTATATTTAACAACTAAGTTTTCTGCACAAACTAGTTGCTCAAATATATGTTTATGAAATAAATAAAGCTATACAACTTTGGCTGAACTTACCTCTATTAACTGAGGTGGGTCAACCATAATGATAACATTATAGAGACATGAAGATTTAGATCAAGCTTCCATTTATGAAATGGGATTTTATAAGAAACTGAATTGAAAATTGCTCGGTTGCAAAGAAATAAAAAAAAATGAAAAACAATAAAATAACATTACTATTCCATCAAATAACCTTTTCATGATTATTAGCAACAATCTAGCATAGGTTTATTATTATAAACATTGATTTTCATTGTAAGCCTATTAGATTGTGAGATCCTTGAGGGCAAGAACTACACATCTTTCATCTTTGCAGCCAGGGACCAGCATGGTTGGTGGCATAAAGGAAGCAAGCTCCCTGACAGGCAGAAAAAGGGTGGGGAGGGAGAGGAAAGGAGAGGGAAGGAGGGAAAGGGAGAAGGAAGGAGAGAGGACAGGACAGACAAGCAAACTAGGGTTGTGTAAGAATGGGCCAAGACCTGGCACGGTGGCGCAGGTGGTTGGAGTGTCACCCTATACACCAAAACGGTTGAAGGTTTGAATCCCCATTAGGACACATACCTAAGTTGTGAATTTGATTCCAGGTCAGGATGCATATGTGAGGCAACTGATTGATGTCTCTCTCTTACATCGATTTCTCTCTGTCTCTCTCTCTCTAAAATCAATAATAAACGTATCTTCAGGTGTGGATTGAAAAAAAATGGGCCAAATTTATGTAACATGAAAATGTCTTTAAATATAATTTTAGTCAGTGGTATAAATTACAATTTTAAAGGAGCTACAGAAATCCTTTAAAACCAGGAGGGCCTGAATGCTAATCTTAATCTTCCTAATCACCAATTCCCCAGTCCTGGGGGAGTCACTTACCCTCACTGTGCCTTAATTTTCACATCTGTGAAATGGGGAGGCATTGCCTGCCCTGTCCTCCCAAATGAAATGAGCTGATCCACAGTCAAGGGCTCTTTACGTGGTGTAATTCCTCTGTCTGAGGGAGGGCAGCTGCACAAAATGCTGGGACTTTGGAGACAGAATTTAATTATGTCTCACTCCTCCTCTTCTCTGATAGTTTAGTTCCACACAATCTTTCCCAAGCTTTGGACCATTGAAAGGTTGTCACAAAACACCTAATTAATAGTTCCACAAAAGATGGTTGGAAAATTCCAATGTAAGCAGGAAATAACTGTGGCCATTTTCCTTGTCTACAGGGGTGGGACCCAACTTTCTCTAAGGGTCTTCGCAACTCTGACTATAAAAGGGCTCCTCTTGGTCAGCTGGCATGGCTCAGTGGTTGAGTATCATTGGAGGTCATGGTTCGATTCCCTGTAAGAGCAAATACCTGGGTTGTAGGCTCAATCTCTGGAGTGGGGCGTGCAGAAGGCAGCCTATCTATGATTCTCTCTCATCACTGATGTTTCTATCTTTCTCTCCCTCTCCCTTTCTCAGAAATCAGTAAGAATATACTTAATTTTTTTTTTAAAGGACTGTTCTTCCAGTCATGCAGGCTCTTTTCTCAGAACCTACAGGCTGGCCTGGGGTGACCAGCTTATTCAGATATTTTTTAAATTGGGTTTAGCACTAAAGTCCCCCATCCCAGCAAACCGGCTGGCCTCATGGGAAGCTCAACTCACCCACAGAACATGAGGATGTTGTACAAGGCGGGGTCGTCCTGGAAGGGTACCACCTGCTGGAGACACAGCTGCTCACAGCCGCCATTGAAGCCGTCGGAGCAGTCCACCCCAATGTGGCGGTCATAGCAGCCAGAACTATCCTTCATGGGGCTGAGTCCGGAAGGGCACTGGCACAATCAGAAAGCATCCACACAGGTGGGTGAATCAGGGGGGTGGGTTCTCTCGAAACTGGCATGTAGCTGCTATTTTATCTGGAGTGTGACCCTTATTTTAACACTCACATTGAAACCATTAACGTTGTCAAATAATGTAAAATTCCCCGCTACGCTGGACTATGTTTAAAAGCAAGGGACCTTTTGACATCTTGCTTCTTCTCTCTGGGCACAGACCACACACATTTGCATTAAAGCCAATTCCTCCAAAAAGGCTGGAAGGGAGCATTGTAACAAGACAGAGGAGGTGTGCTGGCCTCCCAACTGGGCCTGGGGTTGGCAGAAGCATGGACATGATGGGCCAGAATTAAAATGCATTAACAGAGATTCCTTTGGGCTGGAGCAAGGGAGTGTTGCTGCTTTAGTATCAATAGGACTTTTCTAAAAAGTGTCTAAAGCACTTTGTCAACATTGATACCAGACACCAGTGTTGGAGGGAATGAAAGGAGACAGGGCATCCAGCCAGGAGGAGAAAGTGGACTTCTTCTGACCTTGGAGGGAGGTTTGACTGCTTTCCTTGTGGGAGTGGCCATACTCATGGCCTTTCCTGCAGAAGGACACCCCTGTGGAAGACACACAGACGTGACCGCCCGTATGTGTTTCCTTTGGGTTTGGACTGTATGCATCCCAGTGCCCTGGGTAGTGTTAATGTGGGACATGAGCTTTTCTGCATTGTCATGCCCTCAATAACCACCCCCAAGAGTGAAAGCAAATGAGAGAAGCCAGGAACCATGTCAGCCAGAATCTGGGCGACATGGTGAGCAGTAGGAAGTTCACATGGCATCCATCTTACTCACTGAACATCTCCTTGAGGTAAGCAGGGTGACCATCCTCATTTTATACATGAAGAAACACAGCACAGAGAGCTTAACTTCCCAAAAGTCACACTGCTGGTCATGGTAGGACCACTGGTAGTCCATGACTTAGTTGCTCCATCTTTGGCTTACATCCCAATTAGCCTCTCACACAACAGTCACCCTTTACCACTTACTGGGACCCCCGGCTATTCTACGTGCTTTAGGTACTTCACCTCATAATGCCATGTATTATCCTCATTTTAAAAGATGTGGAAAGCACTAACACAGCCAATTAATGCAGGGACATCTCACTGCACTGGACTCCATCTAAAAGTCAATGGCTACACTTTGCCATCCTGCTTCTGTCTGTGCACCAGATCCTGCACATGTGCATTACAGCTGGTTCTCCCCAACATGCTGGAAGGGTGTAGATCACTTGCCTAGAGCGAGGCAGTGAATATGGGGCAGAGCTGGGGTCTGTCTAGATCTGACTTGCTTTTAATGGCTGTGCTGTCAGCTACCCAACACACTTCTTCAAAACCAAAACCAAACCAAAAACAACTTTCAAAACTCAGAGAAACAGTATTAAACACCTCCTCTCTGTCCTGTCACCTGGCTGCCTCTTCTTCCCCACTGCCAATTACCTTGGCCCAGTAGTGGGACTGCGGCAGGTGCGCCTCTAAACCCACCTCCCCTCCTCCCTGCTTCCCACTCAAAGATCACAGCAGGATGTGCACTGTTTGCTGACACTGATTCCGCAATTTCCCAAACAAACGGGCCCCCTGTGGGCCTTCCAGGCTCCCAGCCCGGTCCATCCTTTTTCCCCCTCCAAAGACAGCTGGAGTGCCGGAAGGTGACAGCATTTAAGGAAGTTTCCAAGGGCTGCCTCGTGCTGGGCAAACCGAGATGCTCCAGATGATGGTAAACAAGCAAATGAGGCAGCTGAGGATTGCACCCCACATTTTGTTAGCCCCCCACCCATCCGCTTCCTTGGCCATCCAGCTGCTAAGCCAGATGTGCTACCAGAAGGGAGCTGGCATCACCCTATGAGGCAGCCCAGGCACAAATGTGGGTCTTGAAACACAGAAGTTTGATTGGAATTAAATGGGCTGCACTGGTTGCCATGAGCTCTTTTTTTTCTATAAAGCTTGAGAAACATCATCAGAGTGGAGATAAAGCCAGTCCTGTCATTCCACCTCACATGCTTTCAATCCTTGGACCAGCTAGCTGTTTCAGTCACCACCAGGGCTCCCATCTCCTCAATTACCTCCTTTTCCCCAAATGCTCCATTAAGCATGGTTTCAGGCAAAGACTTCACCAAATGAAACTCAAGCAGGCTTTATTCCAGAACTCCAAAATCGGGCACATCCACACCTTGTGTGGCCCTGGTGTCTAGATGACATTGGTGTGTCAAGTGGGACCACCTGGTATTTACACTTTCTTAGGAGATTTGAAGAGAAGACAGAGTTAGCTACTTTGGAGTTTTCTTTTCTTATGAGCAAAGCTAAAAATAACAGCTCTCAGGAATTAAGCAATTCTACATGCAGGACAATCTATGTATATTCAATCCCAACAACACAGGTAGACTCTTTTTCTAGTTTTCTTCAGAGGGCAAACAAACTCAGAAAGATTAAGTAATCACTTGGTTAAGGCCACAGAGGTGGGAATCAGATTTCTGACCTAAATCTGTCAGGCCCCAAAGCTCATGTGTGTCCCTTCCACTCTGCCATATAGCATCCCAAGTATGAGAAAACCTGGGTTTCCTGGACCCCCTAAAGAAATATAGTCAATGTGTTGACAAAGTAAATCAATTCTGTAGATTTGTTCGTCTGATTGTTTTAAGCAACTCCTGGAGTACATTCTGAAGTCATTTATGGATTTGTATCTTTAGCCTAATATTCATATATATTCATTCTCTCTCTCTCTCTCTCTCTCTCTCCCTCTCTCCCTCTCTCTCTCTCTCTCTCTCTCTCTCTCTCTCTCACACACACACACCCATATTATGGTGTATATATTTATAGGACGAAACACTGCAAACTGCCCAGAGCCATGACCTTGAAAACAAGGCAAGATCCTCAATCTCTGAAAAAGATGCAATTATCTTTACTTCAGTATAACTTACTTGGGCTGCAGTTCAGAGGAAACATTTTTGAAATTATTCCCAGAAAAGAAAAAAGAAAAAAAAAAGAGAGAGCTGAAACCAAAGACACAGTTTTCTTTTTAACTCTTACTGAACTAGAGCCCTCACTTCCCAAGAAGGCTAATCATTCAATTTTCTCAAGGTGTGAGTTTGTTTTTACCTAAATGTGCCTTGTGCTATGGTATTCATATGCATTTTGGGTTCCTCAAAATCTACATATAAATACAAAGACACTGCCGGCTCCACACCATGCCCTCCTCCTAGAAGTGTCTGAGCCATAGGCCAGCCGCCAGGAGAGAAATCCTGCCTCCACAAGGAAGGAGCTCTTTCCTCTTTGCAAGTGCTGGCCATTCTCTTCCCTGGCGTGTGGACAATCCCTCCACTTATTCCTTGAAAGAGGACTGTTTGCTCAGGAGGGAGCCCCAAGGTCACACACTAACTCTCACTGCACAGGTTCCATTAAGCAGTCCCAGAGCCTTTATAAACCACAGGCTCCACAAGAAAATTCTCTCTATTATGGCAATAGCCCTCCCCCATCAAGAAGGTCTAATAAATGAACTGCAATTTCAGTGACCCCTAAAATATACAAGGTTAATCATCTTTCATGAGATGCTCATGGCTTTTTGACTTATTACTTGTCTGAGGCATAATTTGCTAATGAGTTTAAAATGATTTTCTCCATTCAACTGCTTTTCTTCCCCGTCTTTCCCTTCTTTTTCTACCAATGGTTTCGGAGTTGATTAATCACTCAAGAGTCTAGTCAAATGTCGCCAAGCCTGAGACATGCGCACCTGATGCAGATTATGAGCTGGGTGTTATGGGCAGAGAGCATGAATAATGGACGCAGGAGCATGTTTGGGGCTCTGGGAGAAGAGGAAGAAGAGGAACCTCTTCCTGTATCTAAGCCTGCCTCGCCTTACCTGGGGGACTCAGAATAATTCCTACTCAAAACAGGTTCTCTTTTCCTACATGTCACTTTTATTTCTTTCATAAATAGCAATTCCCGAAATTTTCATGAGTCTGACTTGGAAGCCTATGGTATGCAGGACTTCTCCAAAGGGGAAAAGTTGGAAGGAATTAAATGTGAGTTTCAGCTTCCAGCCCCTGAATTGCTAAAAGTCTCTGACTCGCACTCCCTACAAAGAGGAAAAGGGAGGGTCATCTGTAATGAGCTCTGCACAACTGTGCTCCAGGAGAAGTGAAATGACACATTTGGTGGAAAACCACTGTGGACAGCATGTGGACAGAAGGGCGGCGGGGTCACTGTGTAATTCAAAGCTCATTAGAGCGTAATGATCTGGCAGCGAAGGTCATGTGTCCAACACGAGAAAGCTGGACGGCCAACCTCTTGCTTTCCAAGGCCACAGTCTCTCACCTAAGCACATGCAGACATGTCACAAAGCAAAGGCATTTGGGGGCCACTTTCAGGGTAAGTGTGAAGATGAGGAAGGAGCAGTACAGAGTGGGCTTTCCACTGTATTTGCGCATTGGAAAGCATTTCAAAACTTTCTTTTATTTTATTGATTTTAGAGAGAGAGAGACAGAGACAGACAGAGACAGACACTGATACGTTGTTCTACTTATCTATGCATTCATTGGTTGATTTTTGTATGTGCCCTGACTGGAGATCAAACCCACAACCTTGGTGGATGGAGATGATGCTCTAACCCGTGGTCAGCAAATTGCGGCTTGGCAAACTGAGGCTCGCGAGCCACATGCGGCTCTTTGGCCCCTTGACTGTGGCTTTTCCACAAAATACCAGCTCTTCCACAAAATACCGATTTCTGCGCATGGGCCACAAAGTTTCAATTGCACTGTATGTGCGTGCCCACACGTGGTATTTTGTGGAAGAGCCACACTCAAGGGGTCAAAGAGCCACATGTGGCTCACGAGCCATGGTTTGCCAACCACGGCTCTAACCAACTGGGCTACCTGGCCAGATCTGAACTTTCAAGCAAAGTTTTATATTAATTTTTAATAGGTGGGCTTGATATGAATAAAAATGCCCTGTTATAGCCGGGAATGGCTGGACTACAGTCTTGCCTACCAAGTCTGCTCCAATCCATACTGCCATCTCTGAGTGGTGGCCCCCAAGGTTGTCTGCAACATAATCTCCAAACCTATAAACATGCCACCTTATATTTGACAAGAGTGGTTTTGCATATCAAGTTATGACTTTTGAGATGGGAGATTAACCTGGATTACCCAGGTGAGTCTGATGTGATCACAAGAGTCCTTAAAAGTGGAAAGAGGCACAGAACAGAAGAGAGAGAGGACTGCAGAAGAGTGGTCAGAAAAATGCAACGGCACAGCTTTCAGGATGAAAGAAGGGGCCATTAGCCAAAAAGAGGTGGGCGGCCTCCAAAGCTAGAAAAGGAAAGGCAATGGTTTGCCCCCTAGAGCCTTCCAAAAGGAACGCGGCCCCACTGGAGCCTTGAATCTAGCCCAGCGAAACCCATGTTGAATTCGCACCACAGAGCTGCAAGATATAGATGGGTGTTGTTTTATGCCACTAAACCTCCAGTAATTTGTTGCAGCAGCAACAGGACACTAATACAGTAACTTTGCAGAACCCCAACAGGCTCCACAGACAGAGAATAAATGCTCTTGTGCCTCCTAGGCAGGACCCAGTTATTAGCAGTGGGAACCATTCCAAAGGGTCAGCAAGCTCTACGTTTGGAGAATGTTCTGGTTTGGAAAAGAGCAGCTGTGGCTTGTACAGGCGTGTGCCTTTCACAGGGATCTGTTTCCTGTCCTCAGAGACCATATAAACATCAGGGCAATTAACCGGGTAGCAACTAACCTGTGGGAGCCCATGCAGAACTGAGAAACATGTTGGCAGCTGAGGTGGACCAGCCCCACCTGTCTGCCTTGTGTTCAACAGGAGGATATGAAGTACACACTGTCTCTTCCCACATCTTTGCTCCTTTCCCAGGTTCCTGAAGGGTCAGTGTATTCCGAGTTCATCCTCTCTCTTTTTATAAAATACTAGAGGCCTGGTGCACGAATTCGTGCATGGTTGGGGTCCGGCTGGCCTGCCCCAATTGGAGCCCCATCAGGCTGGGCCAGCTGGGGGGAGGGGCCAATCAGAGGCCGGGCTGGCCAGGGGCAGGGGCCGTGGGTGGTTGGCTGGCCCCGCCCCGCCCCTGGTGGAACTCCCAGTTGAACTCCTGGTCAAACTCCCAGTCAAGGGGACAATTTGCATATTAGCCTTTTATTATATAGGACTACAGGCCCAGTGCACGAATTCATTCACTGGTGGGGCCCCTTGGCCTGGCCTGTGAGATGGGCTGAAAAGGGCTCTCTGACATCCCCCCAGGGATCCCGGACTGCAAGAGGGCCGGGGAGGGATGAGGAGGTTGGCCAGCCGGGGAGGGACTGCGGGAGGGCTCCAGGGCTTGTCTGGCCCATCTTGCTCAGTCCTGATCAGCTGGACCCCAGCAGCAAGCTAATCTACCAGCTGGAGCGTCTGCCCCCTGGCGGTCAGTGCTCATCATAGCGAGCAGTTGAGCAGCCTTAACAAATCATTAGCATATTACTCTTTGATTGGTTGAACGGATGACCAGACACTGAGCATATTAGGCTTTTATTATATAGGATGCCTTTCAGCTCAGTGCCCAAAGAACGGAATGTCAGGGTTTCTGAGAGGAGAAAGGCAGCTGTACAGCTGATGGCATTGTCCCTGGTCCACTTCCAGAGGACATGGGACCACTCTGCTACACAGCAGGGCTTGAGGAAGGTGTGGATGCCCAGGAGAGTCAGGGCAGCTCAAAGTCAAGTTCCTAATATACTTCTCTGCAGGGGTACAAGAAACAGGATGCAGCACATCAGCTCTCAACTCACCAATCCACCTGCATCTGGGATCATGTGCTTCAGAACCAATGGAAAACATTCAATTGACAGACCTGCCAGTTGGTTTGGCCTCACCTCCCTCCAAGAGCCACGTGGACCAGTGACTTCTATTTATTATGCTAATACCAAGCCCTGGCACAATTGGGTGACTTTCTGCAGTGGCTCCAATTGTTATTGCAAATGCATATTCATCAGAACTATTCCTGTTAGCTCTGTCTCACAGATCAGTGTTAAAAGTACAAGAATACATCAGCACAGCTCCATGCCAAGTAAAGGGGCTAGGATCACCAACAGAAGGCTTTTGACAAGCAAATCCTTAGGGGCTCAGGAAAGGTGCAGAGCAGTGGGAAAGCATGGAGTCTATCCGCATGCATGTGTGTGAGTGCGTGAGCATGCACGAACTCATATGGGGCTGGCATGGAAGTGGGGATGCAAAGGATGTTCAAAAATGTGCACAAACAGTGTTTTATACTTAGAGTGACCCAAGAGAATAATGTAAAATGATAAGTTGAAATCTGGATGATGGAGACATGCAGGCTGAATAGTAAAAAATATTTTTTTAAAAAAGTGTCTCAGCTGGAACTCCATTACAGTGAAATTATCTCCTGAGGGACCCAGTTGGGAAACTCACTGCCTAGACAGCAGAAAGTGGACCAGCCACAGGGAGGGGGACATGGACTGACCTGGCTGCCTTCAAAAGACTTGGCCCAAAGAGCATTTTTCTTTGTACTTTTCCTGATAGTCCAATCTCTTTACTTTCCCCTCCCTTTGATGAACCTGCCAAGTTCTCCACCTACCTGCCCCTTAGCTTTCTTTCTTTCCCTTTTCCTTTCTTCATTATCTCCCCCCTCCTCAGATAAATTAGGCCCTTGTCAACTGCTGCCTAATCTGTGAAAGCCAGGGAGGCCCCAGGCCAGAGTGAGCCCCACCTGGATTCCAGGTTCATACCCATCTTTGATGAGAATGGCTCCCTGAACAGAGCAGGTGCTCAAAGATGGGGAAGAGGAGGGTGTGAACACTGAAATCGGCCCAGCATCCTCACAGCTTGCTCCGGCTTTGGGTCCCCTGATAAGAGCACAACTGTCAGACGTGGAAGCAAGACGAGACACCACATCCTCCCCAGAGATGGAAGCCCTGGCCCTGCCCTGGAAACACCACAGGACTACATGTCTCAATGAATCATCTTCCCTCTCCTTCATGCCTGGCTTTCCTGCCTTCTTTCTCCACCCCTCCCCCTCTCTGAGAGGACTGCATCATTCTGCCCTTAAAAGAAGAAAGTGCTGGAAACAGACAGTAGTGCTGATGGGCATGAAAATGACAATATAAAAGCACCAGCAGCTGATGGCTCACTCTGCCCCACCTCCATTTGCCTGTGTGGTTCAATCAGTCTTCCTATCCATGGCATGGGAGATATCCCAGTCCACTCTAGCCCAAATAGTCTTCCTAGTTCACAGCATCACATATTTTATAGGTATCCAAAGTCTATATAGGTAATAACAAAGTAAGAAACCACCTTTCCCCAGGTAGGAGTTCATTGCGATGGTCTCAAAAGGGACACATTTTTATTTTTTCTATACCATTCTTGGCTTATTTTATATAGGTAGATTTTTCCTAAAATTCCCTATTACAATCAGTGTGATTTAAGTCTAAACAAAGGTAGTTTTTTCCCCCTAGAATTTCCTACTAGAGTAAATACAGTCTATTTCCTATAAGAGTCAATATCATACTATTAGCAGTTAATTAGTTCTCAAATTGTTTGGGGGTATTCCTTACCAACTAGACTGCAAGACTGGAAAGAAAGAATCATGGTATATAATTCAGGAGATTTCCCTTGGATAGCTACAGGTGATCCATAGGTGCGCCATAAATATCCCTTGACTTATTGACTGGTGATTAGTATCTCATCTCTGTCAGGAGGAGATTCAAAATTTAGACTAGAGTGCAGCTACAGTGAGGAAGAAGCAGTCTCGACCCTTTCTTTTAGTCATAGTGTATTTTCATCTGTATATCTGCATTGTGTCTGATCCTGTGCCCTCTCCCCACTACAAGCTCGATAGGGCAGACCTACCACACAACCAGTAGAGTCCAGCTTGCGATCTGAGATGCAGCGGAAGTTCTTACTGCAGCCCCCATTGTCCTTGCTGCAGTCCCGCACTGGCCCGAAGGAGTCAAGGAGCACCTCCAAGCTGTCGAAGGAGGACGAGGTCATCAGTTCCTCTCTGTGGGGAGAACACAGGGACATGGGAGGCGTCAAAAGGACTCCAGGTGCCACAAGTAGCATCACAATCCACGGTTCTACCTGGCCAGCCAGATCATGTCTTACTCCCTCATAAAAATTCGAGATCAACCATGCTCTGAGCCTTGAGCTAACAAATTACAGACATTCTCCATATCTGGGAGCTGAGCCAACCCTGAAAGGCCTGGTCAAAGAAGGTCTCATCTTGGGTTAGGAAATTAACATGTTATCCCCTGTCAGTCCTTACAGGACCTGAGATGTGCTTACAAATTCTGCTTTTATGTCTTCTCCCTGTGCCTGAGCCTTGGGGTGTGCAATGCTGACCCAGATAGAGGAGATCCTGGCACTGCGTAGAAGGAATGTAAAGGCAGCCGCCAAGTTCTCTTTACAGCTTGTCAGGATTCCTTTCCCAGGGTCCTGGACTTGAAGGTGGTTTTTCCCTCAGTCTCTCCAGCCAAGAATGGGCCTCAGCACCTGGAGGCTGGACTCACCTGACCTCCACTGCATCTTCCATCACCGTCATGTCCGTCTTACACTTTGCTGACGGGTTGATAGCCAGTTCGGCTGGTGGGATCACAAAGCTCTTGCTGAGGGGCAGCCACATGCCCTCGCCCAGGGTGTAGGTGAATCTGCAGGGACAGCCACCACCAGGGGGTTAGGACATGGTTACCACCGCCCCTGGGAGGACCTAGCATCCATTGCCAGCAAGCTTCCCTCTCAGCCTCCGCAGAAAGGATAGTGATTGCCACTTTGTGGATGAGCTGCCTGAGTCTGAGGGAGGCGGTGAGGCCCATTCTTGCTCACATGTCCAGACAGTTGGAGAACTGATCATGGCACCCACTCACCAGCTGTGAGAGTGGTTTTTATCAAGTCATACGAAAGCATGTTCCAGTTTCCTTCATATTTGAAGCTGGGCGCCCTCTATCTTAAGTCAGATATAATTGGAAGAATTTTAATTGAAGAGACATTCCAGCCTCCCAATACCGCCATCCCTTAGTTTGCACTTGCGCAGGGGTAGCAATGGGGTCTCTCTGTGCCTGGCAGAATGCTACCCAGGAATAGGAGGGAGGACAGCTCCCTTTTTCTGGCTTCTGTGTGATGGGAACACTGGAACCAGGAGCCAGGGAGAAGGGAAGGGGGATGAAGGAGACTGGCCCAGATGTATCCTCCGCACTCCTCCCCACACCCTCAGCTAATGGCCTTAACCCTGGGGAGACAGGGAAGATTTGGTGGTGTGTGTTTTTATTCTCATAACAAGGGCTAAAAGGAATAAAAGAATCAGCATTTCAAGGGAGAGCTTAGAGAGACCATTAGTGATTATTTGTTTATTTATTCATTCATTCATTTTATTTCAAAGGCATTCAAATGCTCTCTGTTCACAGTCAAAAATAGTCTGTGGGATAAAAGCCAATGTGGGTGGGATATCACAAGGCAGTGGCAGTCTGGTGTTGCCGTCCAACTTAATGTGCAGGGAGGAATAAGGAAGGATGCATATGATTAAACAGAATCCGGCACAGGCTCCATCAGCATGCTGGTCACAGAGGACCACCTCAGAATCCGACTCCTTCTCTCTCCTAACCCAGTGCACCTTTCTATTCTCTCTGGGCTGTCTGAGAGCTAGGAGACCAGATGGGTGACTTGAGATATTTGGGGAGGAATGTTGTCCTCTCTAGGATGCTGGCCATGAGAATGCCCACTGACCAAGTCTCAGGAGTTGCAAGCAGCCATGAGATTTCACTCACTTCCTGAATGGCAGCTCTGGGCAGAAGAGCAGCTCTAAGAAGAGAAAACAGGTGCCCCAGAGAGAGGCAAGTGGGAAGTGGCCAGGATTTGGGAGACTTCCTCTCCCCATCTACTCTCTTACCCTTAGTCCCCTATCCAAAGACCTGCTAGGCAAACACCTGCATTAAAGAGCCCTGAAGTATCAGAAGAGCTTGTTGATCTGAAGGAGGCACTCAACCTTTCCCATCCACAGGAAAGAGAGGCAAGAGCTGGGCTAGGTGTGTGTAGGGGTGGTCCACACCAGATGTGGAAAGCCCATTGCTGGGGGACAGAGGAGGAGACCCACCACTTCACCCTTCTCTAAGCAGCTGGTAAAACTGAAGGCATGGCAGCCCCATTACACACATGCACACACACATGTCAACTGGCAAAATGAAGGAGACCGTATTCAGGGCAAGTCATTGTCCCAAGGTACCTAGGATCTGGGACTCAAGGAAAAATGTGTGTTGGAGGTAACAGTGTGCAAGATTTGCGTTCACTTTGCATTTAGTACTGAATATTCTTGAGACAGCAACATTATGATAGGCCCCATTACTGTTGTGCAATGTGTACTATTTCAAAGAAAACAGGCACACGTTTGAATGCTGCTGGAGGGGGGAGGGTGGGGAGAGTTTATTGGGACAGAGTTTTTGTTTTCTATTTTGGTTTTAAAATGAGAAGTTGTGCATTGATGCACAGCAACAAATCAGTGACCTGTAGTTCATCATTTATGCCACAGATTTTAGGCAACGGTTGGCAAGTCTAGCACTTCCTGGCGGTGAGTTTTTCTTTTAAAAGAGAGAGATCATGTCCATCCATCTGTTTTCCCTTCCTCCTCTGCTCATAGGAATATTTCAAAGGAAAAAGCAAACCACATCTTTCCCCAAGTGAAACTGTGGACAGCACCCCAGGCCCACAGAACGAAGTTCACATCTCCAAAGACACCATACTCTGTGCTTCTACAGAGCAACCTGATTCTAGCTCCTAAAGATGCCCTCATTTCTCCCCGCTTTGCCTTTGCCCCTAGTATTTCTTCTTCCTGAATTTTCTCCCCTTTCTTCGTTGCAGGAGTCCCGCTCATTTTAAGACTCAGGTAAGGTCCCACCCCTCCAGGATCTTCGCATCCAACCCTCAGGCTGAGCAAGGGACTCTCCTCTGTATACATGCTCCTGGTGATGATGAGTTGTGCCCATCTTCTCACCACTGCTCAGCAGAAGGTGCTCCCTTAGACTGCAGAGGGCAGTGCTTGTTCATCTTTGCATTCCCACTGACTGATACAATTTCTGGCCCAAGGAGATTACGCCTTAAGTATTTACTGACTGATCAATAAGTAGATTGTTCTTTAGTTTGCACATGCTACCCGGAGAGAGTTTCAAATTTCAAATGCAAAAGTAGAAGCAGTGGGGAAGATTTCCTTCGTTTAGAGCAGGGTATGGGTTCACCTCTGGGTTGGAATGGACTTAATGGTCAGGGTGGATCTGGTTTTGACATTATGAGAAACTTCCAAAGTTCACAGAAGTTTCTGAGACACAACTTTGTACCAAGTTAACAAGAAAGATAGTGTCACATTCACCTCTGGTGGAGTCAAGGTGAAAACCTGAAGGGCAAGCCAAATCAGGTGTAGGGTGAGACGAACCTCTAGTGAGAACTCTCAAAGGGGCAGGTGGTCTGCAGAGCCACCTCATTTATCCTCACAACAGCCTTCCAAGAGTGGTCATTTGGCCCATTTTACACATTTGCCCACTAACATTTTAATGTGACCTCTTCAAGATCACCTTTTCATAAGTGGGAAGATGGGGGCTGGTCTGATTCTCTAAGCAGCTTTCCAGCCCATACTGGCTCATGCCTACGAAATTCTAAAGTTTTCTTTTATCTGCAAAATCTACTAATTCTAAATATAGCCCAAACTGTGAGAGAAAAGCAGTGTCCTGAAATCTCATCTGTCCCTCATTCATGCAGATTTGGCAGGAACAACCTCAGAAAGCCATCAAAGGAAGTTGGTGAGCATCTGGAATGCTTTCCCAGGTTGGGCCTTCTCTTACAACAGCTGGTGGGGCCATCACAGTTGGTGGCTTGGCTGGAGGCTGAGTCGTGTACATGGCCTTGGTAAACAAGAGCTTGACACTTCTATTCAGAGGCAAATGCTCACCAGAGCACAGTGGACAGAACTGGCCTGTGCTCTCATGTGCTGGGCATGAGATGGAATGTGGAGAAAGGGACAAAGAGCTCGTGGTCCACTGTCTGCACTCTTTTCCCAGAGCAGCCATTCCCGGAGGAGGTCTTGTTCCCTGGGATGCAGGTGCACACTTGGGGGGAAGGTCTCTGAGAGAGAAATCTGGTTTGAAGTAATTCCGGCCACCAGAAGATCCAGTGAGATGGAGTGATCTGAGCCATCATGGAAAGGACACCTTGGGCACTAGACTGGGCTTGGTGCAAAGATTCAGCCTTTCCCCTTGGGCCCTTTGAGTCTAGCTGGGACCCTTTCCAGGTTCTTTGGGATTGCAGATTACCAAGGTTAGGTTGAGCATCAGATCTTTTCCTAATCTGGTTTCAAGTCCTCAGGAAATACCTGAAATGATCACCTACAAATATTTGTTAAAGACCAACTATGTTCAAAATTTCATGTTAGATATTAAATATTTAAAGCCATATATGACACTTCCCTCAAAAAGACAACCATTTCACTGTAGAAATCAATAGGTAAATTAAAATAAATATGAAATAAAATAATTGACAAATAAATATTACAGCCAGTAAGTTACAGAAATTTGGAGGGGAAAGGTCATTGTGGATTGGTGCAGTGGGTTGGAAAAGCTGTAGAGAAGCATTTATCAACACTAGTAAAGATTAGAATTACCATAGGGTTTGTAAAAAAACACAGACGCATGCCCACATCCCACCCCCCAGAGCTTTTGAATGAATTGATTTGTGCTGTGTGAGATCACTGGTCGTTTTAAAGCACACTGGGGATTCTCATGGAGGCTAAGGTTGGAAAACAATTCTTGGATGAGACCATAAATTGCATGAAGTCAGGGACTATCTTGGTCATATTTTTTTGGTTATAGCTACAGTATCTAAAACAGTGCTTTGTAATAAATAGCAGGTACTCAACAGACTTGATCTAGGCCATGAAAAGGGGTAGTGTTTATATTAGGAGGAGAATATGCACTCTTGCTGGAGGAAAGAGTAGGGGTGAGTGTACAGAGGAAAAAATATTCAAGTTCTAGAAGCAGTACATCAGTTAGAAGATAGATCTGATGGTAAGAATGGAAAGCTCTATAAGAGAAAAGCAGCCAATTAAAAGGGAGCTACACATTGGCATTCAATTGTGGGAAGATTTGAATGTCAACATTTAAATTTTCTTCCATAATCCAGGGACATGTGCAGTGGCCTGGAATCCCTCAGAACACGAAATCACTGGTGAACGAAGTAGCGGACAGTCACGTGCTTCTTCAAGAATCAAGAGTCACTAAGCAGGTCACAGGATTTTCCCGTGGCCACTGACAGTCGGTTTACTCAGAGTGGTTTTGGTTCAAGTTCTTAATACCTGAAATCAGGGAATCATGACCCATTGATTTCATCTGAGAGATGCATTATTGCCACGCTGGTGACCAGAATGATTCATCACTTACTGATGAACACACTGGCTCCCGAGAGAGAGCACTGACGGCACGTTCCAGCCTCATAGCCAATCCCATCTGAAGTGCTCAGGTGTCACTTCCAGGTGGCAACTAACGAACCTGAAAAGAGTAAATGGTGCTTGTGGGGATGCAAACACATTTTTGGTACAAGTTCTGCTCTAATAGCTATTTCATTAAGGAGCTTGCTTTTCAAAATGTTAGTGTCTTGACTTTTAGGGGAGTGGCAACTTATACATGTTCATCAGCCTGACTTGGCCAGGCTCTCTATCTGCCTTATCTTTATCACCCTTGGCTGGTCCTGGCAGATCAGTAGTCAAAAAAAAGGGGGGGGGGCGGGGTCAGCCAAATGATAAATCATTGTTGAAAAGTTTAAATGTCCAAGTCACAGTCTAAGGATATAGCTGTCTTTTCCTGTAGCACAAATCCTCAAAAGAAGCCTGTAGCCAATGCCATAAACATGACTCAGCCTGCCCCAGGAGAGACAATCAGGAGAGAAAAGTTCGGGAAGAGAAGGCCCCAGGAGGCGTGAATCTGTAAATCTGCACTCTTGCTAAGAGCATGCCTTAGGAAAACGCCTCAGTGGACAAGCCCAGCCCATCCCCAGCAAGCAGGGAAGAGGAGCAGGAGGAGATGGGGCAGAGGAGCCAGCTCCAGGAGCAAGTGCAGGAGCAATATTAACACCTAGGCCAGGACTGGCTGACAGGAGGGGTTTGCAAAGGCAGCAGTGAATATGTGAGGCTCCGCACACTATCCGAGTGCAGTGAAAGGAAGCACATTTGTCCCACCTTGCTCACCATTCCTCCCTAATGCGATGTGGTAGCTCAGAGCATCCTTTGACATCAGACACTCCTGCAGGATTGTTTCCTTCCTCCACAAGAGGGTACCCTCATAGAGGGTGATGTATTCATCATATCCACCCTGGCAGGCCCAGCAAGGTCTCTGGCACTTAGTGGGTACTCAGCAAATGCATGTTAAGTGAAGGATAAATTGACAAAATAAATGGATAAGATCTTAGTTTGAAGTAAAGATGTGTTCCTGCTAAGGTCTGGTGTGAATGAGACTTTATAAAAATCCAACAGTTCACAGTCACAACCCAAATTCTTCCTCTGCTTGTTGAATTTTCTAATATGTGACATTCCCAGGTATGTAGGTAGAAATTAGGCAGGGATTAGAAACATCCGATTTGATCAAGAGGATGGCAGGTAAAATAAAATAATAATAAAGTAGATCTAAAAAAAAGGGGGTGGCAGGGCCAGAAAGATTAATTTTGAACAACTTAAGACTTTATGAGGAAGGTGTGAATTAAGTGCACAAAGGGGATGCAGAGAGGGGCAGTAGCTGCGTGTCCTGTGCTGGTTTCTGTGCTAGGGGTTCTCCCTGCATTACCGCACATATTCCTCATAACAAGAGAGCCATGCACGTAACAGAGTCCCATTTACCAAAGTGGAAAGTGGAGGCTCCAGGATGTGAAGTGAAGCACCGGGGTCAGAGAGCAGGTGAGGAAGGAAGCCAGGACCCCACAGAATCCGTGTGACTGCAAAAGCCTCCACACTGTCACTGGGCATGATTGGGGGACAGATGCTTTTGTTACTAGGAGGACAGAATGACTCATCAAAGCGTTGCCTTTCCACTTTACCGCTAGGAAGCCAAGCTCAGTGGGAAGTGGGACATGGGGCTTGAAGACATATATAAGCAAGTCCCTAAACAACCACTCACCTGAATATTTTATCAGAAGGTTGCTCTCCCAAAACCAGGTCAAAGCCTCGCTGAAATATTGTGTAAGGCCAAGGCCTAAAAGGAAAAACATCATTCAATTAAAATCGACTCAACACACACTCCCTGCACATCCGTCCACTTTGTAGGGTAGGGGTCCTCAAACTTTTTAAACAGAGGGCCAGTTCACTGTCCCTCAGACCGTTGGAGGGCTGGACTATAGTTTAAAAAACAACAACTATGAACAAATTCCTATGCATACAGCGGCGGCAAAAACACCCGGCGGGCCAGATAAATGTTTTCGGCGGGCCGCATGTGGCCCGCAGGCCATAGTTTGAGGACTCCTGTTGTAGGGGGACCAGACGGAACTCTGGAGGCCCAAAGATAGTGAGGACCTAGTTCCTGTCCTCAGGAATCACACTGATGTCAGTTTACACAGGTGCTTGAATGCAGGAACCCAAGCAACAACAGGATCAATGTAAAAATCACTTAACCACAAGGAGAGTGATATTTAATAGACATGAACATTGGAATGATATAGCGAGTAAAACTATACTAAGGTGGACCTCCCATCACCATAACTCATGGTCCTTCGGATGTGGCTTGAACAGAAACGTAGCTTAGGCTCACTTATTTGAGGGGTGGGCAGCATGATTTGTCGGGGAAGGTGGAGCCTCTGTAATCAGACAGCTCAGGTTCAAATCTTGTTCTGCTAATGAACCAGTCAGCTGTCTGACTTTGGGCAGATTATTTATCTTATTGAGTATAATTTTATCACTTCTAAAAATTGGGTTAGTAAGAGCTGCCTCACAGGCCACTGTGAAAATTAAGCAAAACTTTTAAGCCAAGGTCAAGGTTCATATGGGTCCTCCACACATTCCCTTTCTCTACTCAAAATGGCAGGAAGATTCCAGGTCTTCTGGTTCCAGATGTTTTCAAAATTTTTATGTCACCCATTTTTGAAACAGAAACCACTGAAATGGTATTTTAAAAAGAATCCTTAACCACGAGCCTCCCTAGTGAGTGTCTCATATACTTGAAAGTAATAAAACTATTTCTTTTAAATAGTATATATCTTTTCACTAACCCAGATGTCCAACCCCAAGATTATTTGTTCACTGGAGCAAAACTTAGGAAATCCCAGAATTGTGCTGGGTACCAGACATTTTGCACACTTGATGGACTGAGCCCTTGCTGTCATGGACAGCAATCTTCACGTATTACCCAATTATACCAACCCAATAACCCGGTAATAGAGGATTTCACTGTAGACATGCCTTTACTTTTCAAGGACTATAAAAAGGAGAATACAATTATTTGGGGCTAAATCTAATATTAGGCGTTAACAACCCAGTGCTTGTTAGGGCAAGGGATATCACCCAATAGATGGCATTTAGGGACGTCTGTGGCAGGTGAGTGACACAATGACTGAGGACACTACTGTCAGTTAGAAGGTAGGGCTAAGAAGGCTAGAACAGGGCCATTCTCAGCTCTGCAAACAACACATTTCCCAATGCCCTCCAAACTTTTAAATGTCTTGCTACACATTTACAGAGGTGAAACCCTGCTTATAATTATCTGAGCCTAGCTGCTAACTCCATTTACAAATAAGCACAGAGTAGCTTGTACAATTTTAACATGTGATTAATTTTCTAGGTGCATAAATACCATATAAATTGAAGGAAGATTCTACATAGAAATTTTACCATTTATTCATAATTTTGGAAAATTATGTCATTGTCTGAAATGCTGTTCATGATCACTGAATCACCAATAAAGAATCTGAATTAGATGGATTATTCTTACACAGATTACATTCTGGTGAATCTACAATGGCTGCAAATGTCTGTGAACTATACTTCTATTTTAATATTACAGAATATTTACACATTAAAAGTTACTATGTCATTATAAACTAGAAGCTCGGTACACGGATTCATGCATTGGTGGGGTCCCTCAGTGTGGCCTATGGGGATCAGGCTAAAACTGGCAGTCCAATGCCTCCTGCTGCTCCTGGTCATCCCAGTCCCGCTGTGCTTGCCACCGCCCTGGTAGGCTCACTGCTGCTCCACTGCCGTCTCCGGGCTGCAGTGGCCAGCCATGAGCCCAGTGTCTGGTGCCCATCAGTCAGTTGAGCGGCACTCCTGCTGTGGGAGTGCACTGACCACCAGGGGTCAGCTCCTGCGTTGAGTGTCTGCCCCCTGGTGGTCAGTGTGCATCATAGCAACCAGTCGACCAGTTTTTCAGTCGCTAAGGCTTTTATATATATAGATAGATTACTTTCTTGTTATTTCTTTTTTAATCATTGTTAAGGCATTATACTTATTTTTTGAAAAAAAAAATTAACAGACTTTATTATTTATGAACTAGAGGCCTGGTGCACAATTTCGTGCACTGATTGGGGGGTCCCTTGGCCTAGCCCACATTTGGCATCGATCAGGGCCGTCTCGCCCAGTCCTGATTGGGCCGATGGGGGCTGGCCGGCCGGGGAGGGACCATGAGAGGGCTCCAGGGCATGTCCTGCCCGTCTCAACCAGTCCTGATCAGCCGCACCCCAGCAGCAAGCTAACCTACCGTCGGAATGTCTGCCCCGTGGTGGTCAGTGCATGTCATAGCAACTGGTGGAACGGTCAAACAGTCAAATGAATGGTCATACACTTAGCATATTAGGGTTTTATTATATAGGACTTCATTTAAGGATTATAAAAGGGGTTATAAAACATTTGTTATAAAGGAGCATGTTAGGTCTGGTGAGGTTGAGAACCACCAACTTAACCTAACCCATTAACCAATTAACTACTCCAAGGACTTGGTACCTGCAAAGGGAGGCCATAAGGACTACACGAAGGAGTGGTTGGGATGGATGCATTCATTTTTTATGCTTACTATTTATAAACACTTTATTCCTGGAATCCAATTTAGAAATATTTGGAGGCAACTAAAATTGGCTCCAAAAAATACCCAAACACTGTGCTATGAATAACCAACCCCTGCATCAAAGGCACAGCTCTTAGTGTGTTTTTATGTTTGTTCTGCTAATTTCACTGAAGATGACCCCACAGAGTGGGGTTTAAGCCTGATTCTTTTTTGTTGAATAGTAAGTGATGGCTTAAGGCCAGCTAAAAAATGTCTTAATTGAAAAAAAAATCCAGAAATCATGATTTGTTCCATAGGCTCCTAGACACTTAGAAAAAGCAATCAAGAGAGAAGAGAGACATGCAACTTTCTCTCTCTTTTCGGCAAAGTCACATTTTCTTTACTATCTGTTTAATAATTTCAAATAACACACATTTTGCTCTTGAGTCATCTGTAGAACTCAAAACTGGTATAATGTGTGAACTAGAGTTAATTCTTGGCATGGTTCCTAGGTTGTTTGAAAATATATTTGGAGGAACAAAACTTTAGGATGGTGTTGATTACAATGTGAACAGTTAATTGCATAGAGTAACATCAATAAGCCTACATTCAAGTCACAGGTAATAAAATGAGCCAGGACCACTAAGCCCACATCACCATATTGCTAGGTAGGTGAGGGCAAAGGGACTTCCTGCTCTGGAGAGGCCTGAATGGTAAGAAAGGAAACTTAGATTCAAAGGACACAGATGTGCAGCATAGACACCACCCTGGTCACATTGAAAGGCAGGAGGGTGCAGTGGTTAGGACATAGGCTCTAGACAAGCCTGCCTATTTCAAATTCCGGCTTAGCCAACAATCCATTGTGACTATGAACAAGTCCCTCAATCACTAATGTCTACATTTCCTTATGTATAAAATGAGACCGTTGGTAATCAATGTATCTACCTGGTAAGGTTGTTATGAGGAGAAGCCAGTTAATATAGTTAAAGTGTTCACAACAGTATCTGGCATTTAGTATCATACAAGCATTAGTTAAATAAGGTAAATTTACTAGTTACCTGAGTCAAGTATAAATACTATAATAAAGAGACCCCCCAATTTCTCTAGAGGAAGAAGTACAGATGCAATGGCAATACCAGGCTTCCACTCAGACTGTAAATGTTGGTTGGAGGGAAGGCAATAATGAGTATGGAAGCCTGGGCCCCCACCCATCTCCTACCCAGCGATCACTCTGCGGGTAGTGACTATACAGTACTGACATTAAATCCACAGAGAGGAAAGAACATATTGTGAAATGGTAAGAGAAATCAGCTGCACAATTCTTCAGCAAAGGAATAAAAGAGAATTTACTATTTTCTTCCCAAGAGACAGGAATGATGTCAGAGAAATGGGAATTCCAATTTATTTATTTAGAAAACATTTATGAAGGGCCTATTGTGTGTGAATTGTGATGCCAGGAAACAGGAGCTGGGATTAAGAGATTCTTTCCCTGAAAGGAACCTATAGTTTTTCCAAAGAAACACACATAGATCCAAACAGAAGAGAATGAATAAAAGGGAAGAGAGATGCAGGTATAGGGGACATGCTAAGTGACAATGAGGGGGTTGTGTCAGGTCACTCAAAGACTGGGTGTTGGCAGTGCATGGAGTGATAGTTGGGGGATTGCATGAGTGAAGAAGCTACCAGGGGACCATATAGGAAGAGGCACAAAGCGATGGAGAGCTGGACCTAAAAGTACCAGAAACACTTTGGAGCTGTTACCTGAGACCAACTGAGAGGAATGGCATGCAGTAGGTCTCTCTGTGTCCAAGTGAGTGAACTGAACTGGCCCCACCAAAGAAGAGGCCTATCACTGAGCTGCATGTCCATGCGTAGCTGGACGTGGCCTTGGGGATGCCTGTAAATAGGGTCTCTAGAGCCATAGAATTGTCCTCCTCTCCTTGCTATTTCTCATTCTGCAGGTGTCATTTGCTCAAAATGTCTACTGAATGTGCTAGAGGCAGGGCCTCTGGCAGCTCCAGCTCCTGTCTTTACATCAGACCACAGAGGGGCACTCCCCCTGCTCATTCGGAAAGAATAATCCCTGGGAAGACTGCTTGGCATATCCCTGGTCAGATGACCAACCTGGGCCTGTCAAGGCAGAAAGCAAGTCCCATTTGATCTTCAGGGCTAGAGCTGGGGGGAAGGTGAGTGTCAAGCAAAACAGTAATTTCCACCTGAGC